CCAGGCACCAGTGGCTCACACCTGTAATCCCAACTATTCAGGAGGCTGAGATCTGAAGATTGCAATTCGAAGCCAGCCTTGAGCGTAAAATCTCAGGGACAGTGCCAAGGCCCTGAGTTCAAGCCTCAGGACCAGGACCAAAAAAAGGGGGGAGGAAGAGGAGGAGGGAGAGGAGGAGGAAGAGGAGGAGAAGGAGGAGGAGGGGGAGGGGGGAAGGAGGAAGGAGAAAGAGAAAAAGGAAAAGGAAGAAGGAAGAAGAGGAGGAACCCCTCTAGGATTCTGCCCAGACATCCACTCCAGTCTTTGGTCATTTTAGATGACAACGTCTTTTCCTTAGATGTTTTCCCTAGGGTCTGATCTTTTTTTGGGGGGAAAGGAATGAGTCATATCTGCCCCAGAGCACTTTCATCATAGAGAAATGCAGACAGAAAGGGGTGGATCGATTTCCATCTCTCATAATGTTGGATTTGGTTGTAATTTCCCCTTAATTAACTGACAAGAGCCTCTCTTGGTTTCGCTTCTGGCCCCTGAGTAAACTGAGACAAAGATACTCACCTTTCTTGTTCATGAAAAAATCAGCCTTGTACAGCATCTGGTTTCTTCTGTCCTATAGCATTTCATAGGTGGCTGGGCTGTGCAGGGCTCTCCTAACATTTTTTTTACCCCTGTTAAAAAGTCTCTACAATGGGCTGAGAAGGTGTGGTAGAGCGCTTGCCTTGCATACCTGAGGCCCTGGGTTCGATTCCTCAGCACCACATAAACAAAAAGAAAAAAGCCAGAAGTGGCGCTGTGGCTCAACTGGTAGAGTGCTAGCCTTGACCTGAAGAGCTGAGGGACAGCGCCCAGGCCCAGAGTTCAGGCCCCACGACCAGACCCCCCTAAAAAAAATTAAAAATAAATAAAATTTTAAAAAGTTTCTACATCATCCTGAGGTTGGTGCCTCCCACCTATAATCCTAGCTACTCAGGAAGCCAAGATCTGAGGATCACAGTTCAAAGCCAGCCCGAGTAGGACAGTCCATGAGACTTTTATCTCAAATTAACAAGCAAAAAGTAGAGCTATGGCTCAAGAGGTAAAGCACTAGCACCCAGGCCCTGAATTCAAGCCCCAAGATAGGCATGTGTAGGCACACACACACACACATTGGTGAAAGATTACATGTCATAGAGAAAACTCCAAGGACAGGTTTTTAGTGAAAACTGCTCACAATCTTCTTGGCAGGAACTTTTTGAACATCATGGCTGTTTAAAGACTGAGCATGTGTGTAGCAGGTGGAATTATAGCAGGAAGAGCGTAAGAGCTGCCCAGGGAATCTCAGATCTCAGGAAGAAGGAAGAGTCATGTGGTGGCTGTATCTGTATTCTTGCCCAAAGAAAGTTTAATTTCATGCCTGCAATCCCGTCCATTTGGCAAGCAGAGACAGAATTCAAGGCTAGCCTGGATAAAAGATTGTAAGATGCTATTTTAATAATAAACCAGGCTGTAATCCCAGCTACTTGAGAGATGAAGGTAGAAAGACCTCATGGCCCAAGGCTGACCTAAATGTGTGGAATAAAACGAGAGCCCAAAGGGGAAAACAAGATAAAAGAAAAAGACCCTATCTCAAAAATGGGTAGTGGTAGAGCACCTGCCTAGCAAACAGGGGACCAGAAGGAGAAGAACAAAGAGTGGAGATAATTACTCAGCCCTCACATGACACATTTCCTTGCCTCCTTAGAGTTCCTCCATGCCTGAACAACGTGTGACATTGGGCCCACCATTTTCATTTTAGACATATACTTATCAATACACACTAGCATCTCCTTGGGGTTTTAATGCACGTGTCCCAAACACTGAATCACATGAAGCATCTTTTTATTTATTTTTTTCTTTTGTGCCAGTCCTGGGGCTTGAACTCAGGGCCTGGGTGCTATTTCTGAGCTTTTTCACTCCCAGCTGGCACCGTACCACTTGAACCACATCTCCACTTCCAGCTTTTGCTGATTAATTGGAGATAAGAGTCTCATGGATTTTTTTCTGCCCAGATTGGCTTTGAACCATGATCCTCAGATCTCAGCCTCCAAAGGAGCTAGGATAACAGATGTGAGCTAATGGCACCTGACTTAAGCATGTTTCTTTACTATCCATAAAATTAAAGACAGGACTCAGGCCAACTCTGCTGAGAGTTCCTTGAAGGGAAGGGGTGAAAAAAAGGAGATAATATACATTATGCATGGTGGCGCATGCCTATAATCCCAGCAATTGGGAGGCTGAGGCAGGAGGATTGTGATCTGGGAGACCTAATGAGGCCAGTCTCTAAAGAAAATTGCTGAGGAAAGAGAGAGAGGACATCTAAGTAGAGCCATGTGCTTACATGAGCAAGAAAGAAGCAGAACCAGTGGGAGCATGTTGGAGTGGACATTAGATCACTAAGCATAGATCACCTTGTGCGATCTATAAGAGTGCGGGGGAGAGTAACAATGGATAGATATGGGGTGCTGTCCTCTGTTTGCTCCCCTTCTCTCAAGGAGGAAACGAGATTATCTCCTGAAACAACGAAACAAATCCAGAAGTAGTTGGGCACCATTGACTCATGCCTGTCATCCTAGCTACTCAGGTGGATGAGATCTGAAGATCAAGGTTCAAAGCCAGTCCCAGTAGGAAAGTCCATAGGACTCTTATCTTCCAATTAACTGCCCAAAATGCTGGAAGTAGAACTGTGGAGATCGAGTGGTAGAGTGCTAGCCTTGAGCCAAAGAAGCTCAGAGACAGTGTCCAGGCGCTGAGTTCAAGCCCCAGGACTGGCAGAAAGAAAAAAAAAAAAAGGCACACAGAAATGAGACAGAGAAAGAGGGCTAGACCTAAAGTGGAGTGACTTCCTGAAAGAAATGGGGGGGATAGTCTGTGACACTGCATACTTCCTTCCGAGACCTGGAAAGCAGAGCAGGCAGGGGCTTTGTTTGATCTAATTGATCCATGGTGGCCCAGACGCTTTAACTACTCACCTCTAGCTGCTTTTCAAACCATCCAGGGGGGTTTTGTTTTTGTTTTTTCATGGTTTTCTTGGTGAGTGTCTTTTGGCTAATGTCTGCAGAATGAAGTGATACACTCCCTGATGTCTGAATTATTCATGGTTTGGACCCATTCTAGCGAGAACTTCACCCAAATGGTTGAATTATTTAATACCAGGTGTGATCTTCGAGGCTTCTGTCTCCAGGGCAAGGGCAATGTTCTTGCTGACAAGTGTAAACTTCTTTTTGTATGTATTTTGCCAGTACTGGGGCTTGAACTTAGGGCCTAGGTATGTTGTCTCTTAGATTTTTTTTTCTTCATTCAAAGCTAGTGGTCTACCACTTGAGCCACAGCTCCCCTTCTGGCTTTTTGGTGGTTAATTGGAGATTAGAATCTCACAGATGTTCCTACTCAGGCTGACTTTGAACCTCAATCCTCAGCTTCAGATCTCAGCTGCCTGAGTAGATCGTGGCAGGAGCCACTGATGCCTGGCTAGAAATGGGCTTTTTTTCCTCTCTTCTTCCTCTCCTTCTCCTTCTCCTTCTCCTTCTTCTTCCTCTTCTTCTTCTGCCTTTTAAGTGTATGTGATTTTAACTGTGAAATGTTGAAGACCATGGTAGGGGCAGGACTTAGCACTACACACTTATAATCTCACCTACAGGGATCTAGAGATGGAAAGACCAACCCAAGCCAAAGAGTTAGCAAAATCTTATCTCACAAAACAAACTAGGAGATGGATGCCAATGGCTCATATTTTTCAGCCTATCAGCTCAGAAAGGTAAGGCCCAGAGGATCTCAGTCTGAAGCAAGCTATGGCAGGAAAGTCTTTGATACTCCCTCTTCAAAATAACCAGCAAAAAGCCAAGCTGAAGGCCTGGCGCAAGTGGCTGGTGGCCAGCTAAACAAGCAAAAGCCTTGAGTTCAAACCCTGACACACCAGCAAAAAATCAATTAATCAATCAATCAATCAAAACCAGCAAGGTCCTGGTGCCTCATGCCTGTAATCCTAACTACTCTGGAGGCTGAGTATCTGAGGATCATGGTTCAAAGCCAACAGGAAAGTCTGTGAGGCTCCCTTCTTCAATTCACCACCAAAAAGCCAGATGGGGAGCTGCGGCTCAAGTGTTAAGAGTGCTAGGCTTGAGTGAAAAAAAGGTAAAGAGACAGTACCTCGGACCTGAGTTCAAGTCCCACGACTGGTGCAGGCATGCACATACACATACACACAACCAAGTTAGGCATGTGTGATGCACACTTGTCAACCCACGTATGTGGGAGGGGAAAGTTGGAGGATCACAGTCCAACACTGGACTCAGGCAACCAGTGAGAGATCTATCTGAAAAACAAACTAAATGCAAAAGGGGACTGGAGGTGTGGTTTGAGCAGTAGAGCACCCACCTAAGCAAGTGAAAGGCTCTGAGTTCACCTCCTGGTGCTATACAGCAAAAGACTCATAGAAAGTCATAGAAAGCCGAGCTGTCTCCTTCATCAGGACAAGCCTTGGGCATCAGCTTGGTGACCCATTGAGATCATCCACCCTGAACTGAGGTCACACCCAATGATTCACAGAGCTGAAAACAGACCTGCTTCAGACAGAACTCCTAAACATCTGGGAAGCGTTCACCTTACGGCCCCCCCCTTTTCCTGCCCAAGTGTTCAGTATCTTCAATGCTTTGCCAACCTGGTTCATTTGCACAACTGAAACCTTAGTTAAGGTTTGTTGAGGTTTTGTGGGGTTTTTAAATTGGCTGTTCCCATCACAGTCCCTTGAGATATAAATAGAAAGAGAGAGAGAGAGAAGAGAGAGAGAGAGAGGTTTCATGTACAAGGTAAGATATTCGAGCTGCAGTCCACTTGATCCTTGAAAGGAAAATCTAAGAGTTCTAACCATCACTTTTTCGGTTCTATAAAAGGAGGGTCAGTAAGGTAGCAAAAGCACATTGGTTGGTTGGTTGGTTTTTTTATTTTGGCTCCTTCTTTTTCCCATTCTTTTTTTAATTTTTATTTTTTGGCAGGGGAAAAAAAATCTAAAACGGTGAGTACCTTAGGGTCCCACCAGACTCAAGGCTCTTTTCCTTCCCTACCTTCATTTTATTAGATTTCTGAAGGTTCTGCTCCGAGTTCTCTTCTCCCCTGGCTTTGACACCTGGAAGAGTTTGGGTCTCTAGAAAATGAACTTTGCATTCATCAGACATCAACCCTTCAGGATAGAGAGGCTGATACCCACAGAGTGTCTACGAGCAGTCAAGCTGTAGTCCAGGCTGGCCTTGAACTCATGGCTCTCCTGTCTCTTTCCATGTGGGATTTGTCATGTGACTATATATATATATGTATATATATGTATGTGTATATATATATGTATGTGTAATATATTTATGTATTATATAATATATGGTTATATTTGTAACAGGTTGATTTTTGGATGATTTGGATATATATATGACATATAGTATATATGATTTGGCTATATATATGCATAGGTGTATAATATATATTACATAACAAGGTTGATTTGTAGCTGCTTGTGTAAGGGAGCAATTGGGTGAATATAATTTTATTTATTTTATTTATTTTTGCCAGTCCTGGGGCTTGAACTCAGAGCCTGGCCACTGTCCCTGAGCTTCATTTACTCAAAGCTAGCACTCTATCACTTGAACCACAGGGTGATTTCCAGCTTTTTCTGTTTATGTGGTACTGAGGAATTGAACCCAGGGCTACATGCATGCTAGACAAGCACTCTACCACTCAGCCACATTCCCAGCCCTGAATTTAATTTAATTTTTATTATTTTGTCAGTCATGGGGTTTGAAATCTGGACTTGGGCGCTGTTCCTCAGCTCTTCCGCTCAAAGCAAGCACTATACTGCTTGAGCCACAATGCCACTTCCGGTTTTCTGAGTGGTTTATTAGAGATAGAGTCTTACAGGCTTTCCTGCTCAGGCTGGCTTTGAACCGTGATCCTCAGATCTCAGCTTTCTGAGTAGCTAGGATTACAGACATGAGCCACCGGTGCCCAGCTGAATATAATTTTTACAAGAAAACAGAATTCCACTTAATTCAGTTCATTCGAATGGGTCCTTTATTTCATTATTGGAAGGTCCTGGGATAAATGGGGCTAGGATTTGGTTTTTGTTTGAATAGTCTGACTCACTATTTAGTATCACAGAAGCTTATCAACATTTTTTTTCTTGTCGGTCATGGGCTTAAACTTTGGGCCTAGGTGCTGTCCCTGAGTTCTTCAGATCAAGGCAAGTGCTCTACTACTTGAGCCACAGTGCCACTTCCAGTTTTCTAGTGGTTTATTGTAGATAAGAGTTTCATGGCCTTTCCTGCCCGGGCAGGCTTTGAACCACAATCCTCAGATCTCAGCCTCCTGAGTAGCTAGGAGGCATGAGCCATTGGTGCCCAGCATTTTATCAACATTTTAAAACAAAACAAAACTCTGGCCAAGTGCCAATGGCTCATATTATTCAGAGGTGGAGATCTGTAGATTGTAGTTCAAAACCAGCCTGGGGCAGGAAAGTCCATGAGATTCTTGATCTCTAGTTAACTACCAAAAAAGCCACAAGTAGAGTTGTGGCTCTAGTGGTAGAGTATTAGCCTTGAGCACAAAAGCTTAGGAACAGTACCTAGGATCTGAGTTCAAGCCCAGGCCTGGCACAAAAATAAAAATAATAAAAAGAACTCCTCCAAACAATTATACAGTGTTGGTGAGCCTACAAGCGTGCTGCACTTCCCCCAGAATATTCCTGACTGACATTTGTCATCTTCCTTCTATGACAAGGTGGACCATGAGCATCACAGACGTCCTTAGTGCTGAGGACATTGCAGCTGCCCTGCAGGAATGCCAAGGTAACAGGGGACAGACACAAAGTGCCAGGCATGGTGGTGCATGCCTGTAATGCCAGCACTCAGGGTGGCAGAAGCAAAAGGATCATGACTTGGACCCCAGGCTGGGATAAGAGTGAAGCCTTGTCTAATAATAATAAAGTTAGGGGGCTGGGAAGGTGGCTCAGTGGTAGAGCGCTTGCCTCGCATGCATGAGGCCCTGGGTTCCATTCCTCAGCACCACATAAGCAAAAAAAGAAAAAAGCCGGAAGTGGCACTGTGGCTCAAGTGGTAGAGCACTAGCCTTGAGCTGAAGAGCTGAGGGACAGCACCCAGGCCCAGAGTTCAGATCCTACAACCGGATCCAAACAAAATAATAATAATAATAATAAAATTAGAGGGTGGGTGTGAGAAAGGCATGAGTTTCTTTCTGCTTTCCCATTTTTTTGTGTGTAAATTTTTGATTCCAATACTGGGACTTGAACTCCAAGCCTCACCCTCTCACTTGGCTTTTCCCTTCAAAGCTAGTGTTCTACCACTTGAGCTACAGCTCTACTTTCAGATTTCTGCTGGTTAGTTGGAGATAAGAGTCTCACAGACTTTTCTTCCCTGGGCTGGCTTTGAACCGTGATCCTCAGTTCTTAGTCTCCTGAGTAGCAAGGATTACCGGTGGGAGCCATGGGTGCCCAGCTTTATGGTCTCACTTTTCACAGAACAAGAAAAATGAAAAGTAACCCAGCACTAGTAGCCCATGCCTGTAATCCTAGCTACTCAGGAGGCTGAGATCTGAGGATCGCAGTTCAAAGCCAGCCTGTGGAGGAAAGTCCCTGAGACTCTTATCTCCAATTAACCACCAGAAAACCGGAAGTGGCTCAAGTGGTAGAGCACTAGCCTTGAGCTGAAGAGGTGAGGGACAGTGCCCAGGCCCAGAGTTCATGCCTATGACCCACGAGAGGCGGGGGGGAGAGAAAAAAACTAAAGAAAGTGTAATCTTTGTGGAAAAACTCACAGACTCACTCAGAAAATTGAATTGCCATGAGTTAGACATCTAAACTCAGGAGAATTCTGGGATGCAAGCATCTGATTTTTGTTTCTAGAAGATGAAAGAAACTTACTAGAAATTGAACAAGGCCAGTGAATGCCTTTAAGCCTGATGACTGACCTAGTGATGACATTTCTCCCCACTGATTAAGCCAGGCCTTTGGGGGACTTGGTGGATGGCTGGGGAGTGGCGGGGGGAGAGGGGAAGGGGGGGAGAGATGTGGAGCCCAGATAGAAGAGAGAAAAGATGGGTACAATCTGGTGGAGAGAGAAATTTGGTGAAAAAAGGAAAGAGATAATTTCAGAAAGCCACCCCATCTTAACTGGCTCAAAGTCTTGGACCAGTTGAACATCCCTTTAACTGAAGATGTTAGGACAGTGCGTACATGTGCATGCCAGTCTGGGACTTGAATTCAGAGCCTGAGCCTCAGTCCCTGAGCTTTTGTGCTCAAGGCCAGTGCTCTACCACTCGAGCTACAGCTCCACCTCTGACTTTTTGCTGGTTAATTGTTAATAAGAGTCTCATGGACTTTCCTGCCTGGCTGGCTTCGTCGAACTGTGATTCTCAGATCTCAGCCTCCTGAGTAGCTAGGATTCCAGGCGTGAGTGACTGGCACCCAGCCCAATTCCAATCTCAGTCATTTTATTAACCTGTATTTTTTTGTACCCGGGTGCACTGAGCATGCTTTCTTCTTTAGACCCAGATACTTTCGAACCCCAGAAATTCTTCCAAACATCAGGCCTGTCCAAGATGTCAGCCAGCCAGGTGAAAGATGTCTTCCGGTTCATAGACAACGACCAGAGTGGATTCCTGGATGAAGAAGAGCTTAAGTAAGCTTTGCCCTGGACACCTCACAGCTGAATGGGGCTGGGGCCGGGGCTGCCTGGGCACTGGGCCCTGGCTGAGCCCGGTCTCTTCAGGCGGAGCACCAAACAGGGTGTGGTTGTATAAGGGGTGTCCTTAATAGAGGGACTCAGTGAGGGTCTCAAAAATAATAAAATGTCTGCCCTTGTTTCTACTGTGAAGGAAATCCCTGCCAGCTAAAATCTTGACTGATGATTCCAACCATTGGATTCAGATGGGGGAAGGAGAGGAGAAGAGGGGAAGAAAGGGGGAGGGAGGGGAGAAAAAGAGGAAGGAAGGAGGGGGAGGAAAGGAAAGAAGAGACAGAAAGGAAGGGAATAAAGGAAGGAGGAAGGAAGGAAAGAGGGAGGGAAGAAGGAGGGAGAGATGGACGGTGGGAGAAGGGTGAAGGAAGGGAAAAAGGAAGGAAGGAAGGAACGAACGAAGGAAGGAAGGAAGGAAAGGAAGGACAGAGAGACAGAGGGAGAGAAGGTGGGAAGGAGATAGAAAGGGTTGGAGGGAAGGAAAAGGAGAGAGGAAGGAAGGGAGGGAGGCAGAAAAGGAGAGGTAGAGAAAAAGGAAGGGAAGAAAGAAAGGAAGAGAAGAAGGGAGGAGAAGGGAAAAGGAGGAGGAGGAAGAGGAAGGAGAAAGGGAGGATAGAAAAAGAAGGCAGGATGGATGGTTGGGAGGGAGGAAGGAAGAAAAGGAAGTAAGTGAGGAATGGAGGGAGGAGGAAAGGAAGAAAAGAAGGAAACACACAGATGCTTGGTTTTCCAGAATATTCCCTCAGGTCTGTATTGCCCTGTAGGTTTTTCCTGCAGAAGTTTGAGAGCGGAGCCAGAGAGCTGACTGAGTCAGAAACCAAGTCGTTGATGGCAGCTGCTGACAGCGATGGAGATGGAAAGATTGGGGCTGATGGTACGTGCAGAGCGTGGAGCAGGGTCTGGGTTCCATTCCTACACACACACACACACACACACACACACACGTTCTGCTACCTCTGACCTCTGTTAATGAACTAAATATATAATCATAATTTCCTTGGCCTGAGGAGGCAAAAGGCAGAGACCCTGTCACTGAGACTCTATTTCTCTTTTCTGAATAAGGGAAGTGATGGTATTCTCAAGGGTGGCTCATAAGAGTGTAATAGCAGATGGGCACCGGTGGCTCATGCCTGTGATCCTAGCTACTGAGGACGCTGAGATCTGAGGATCACAGTTCAAAGCCAGCCCGGGGGGCTGGGAAGTTGGCTCAGTGGTAGAGTGCTTGCCTTGCATGCCCGAGGCCCTGGGTTCAATTCCTCAGCACCACATAAGCAAAAAGAAAAAAGCCGGAAGTGGTGCTGTGGCTCAAGTGGTAGAGCACTAGCCTTGAGCTGAAGAGCTGAGGGACAGTGCTCAGGCCCAGAGTTCAGGCCCCACGACCAGACCCCCAAAAAAAAAAAAAAAAAAAAGCCAGCCCAGGAAGGAAAGTCCATGAAACTTATCTCCAATAAACCACCAGAAAACCAGAAGTGGCGCTGTGGCTCAAGCGGTAGAGCACTCGCTTTGAGCTGAAGAGCACAGGGACAGCGCCCAAGCCCTGAGTTCAAGCCCTATGACCGACCAAAAAAAAAAAAAAGTGTATTAGCTTGTGTAGAAATGCCTCTTAGTTTCCTTTGCTTTCAACAGTGACGCTGAGCAATGGCTGGGGTAAATGACTGGGGTAAACAGAACAAACCAGTGAACCACTATTCATGTCGTCTTGTTTGTAGAGAGATTCAAATTTTAGGTACTTGGACATTTTCTTGCAGCCAGCTTGGAAAAACACATTGCTTAGGGCACTTATTTGAAACTTACAAGTGTTATTTTGTATCCTTCTTTGATTTTTAAAAGTCCATTCAAAAGTTGACCACTATACAGTGGCCAACAGTGTTTCATGCCTGTGGGCCTAGTTTTGTGGGAGGCTAAAACCGGGAGGATTGTAGTTTGAGGCCAGCCCAGACATATACTCGAAATCCTTTCTCAATTCATTACTGAGGGTGGTTATGCCCACCTTCATCAAATCTACTTGGGTGGATGAGATCAAGAGGATCATGACTCTTTTTTATTTTTTTTTTGGGGGGGGGGTCCTGTTGTGGGGCCTGAACTCTGGGCCTGGGCGCTGTCCCTCAGCTCTTCAGCTCAAGGCTAGCACTCTACCACTTGAGCCACAGCGCCACTTCCAGCTTTTTGCTTTTTGCTTATGTGGTGCTGAGGAATCAAACCCAGGGCCTCAGGCATGCAAGGCAAGTGCTCTACCACTGAGCTACCTTCCCAGCCCCCGAGGATCATAGTTCTAAGCCAGCTCAGGTAGAAAAGTTCATGAGACTCTATCTCAACTAAAAGAAGCTATGTGTTGTGTGGTGTTCCATGCTAGTCCTCCCAACTATGGTAGAAAGCAGAAAATAATGAGAGTCACAGTCACAGTCCAAACACATACTTGGACAAGAAACGAGACCCTATCTCAAAAATAACCAGTGCAAAAAAGGACTAGAGGCATGGCACAAGTGGTAGAGCACCTGACTAGTGAGTTTAACTCCCTGACTTCAAACCAAATACTGGTCCCCAACACAAAAATGGATACTAGTGTAGCTTACCAGACAGGAGTTAAAAGTTTCTATAAACAGGCAAGAAAAAAAAATAAAGTTTCAAGAGGCTCACGCCTGTAGTACTATCTTAGCTACTCAGGAGGCTGAGATCTGAGGATTGTGATTCAAAGCCAGCCCAGGCAGGAAAGTCTGTGAGACTCTTATCTCCAATTAACCAGCAAAAAGCCAGAAGTGGGGCTATGGCTCAAGTAGAGTGCCAGCTGGGGAGGGGAAGGGGATGTTCAGGGACAGCATCCAGACCCTGAGTTCAAGCCCCTGGACTAGCACTCACAGACACACACACACAGAGTTTTAATGTAAAAGGATTTACCTACTTAAATATAACCATGAACACACACACACACACACACACACACACACACACACACACACACACACACACACACACACACAGAGTTTTAATGTAAAAGGATTTACTTAAGTATAACCATGAAAGACTTCCAAAGGGACAAAGCTTAGGAATGGATAGAAGGCAAATCTCACTTTTCAATTTTAATTGGCATCATCCAAAATTTATTATTCTAAATATAATAATAATAATTTGTTTGGAGATAAGGATAGGGTTCAACAGAAGAAAGTTTGTTCAAAGTTCTACCCTGATGAATGTCTGCTTAAAATCTAAGGAAACAAACTTCCCATTTTTGGAGTAAATTAACCAAATAAAAATATTCATGTTAGCCAGGTGCTGGTGGCTCATGCCTGGAATCTTTGCCATTCATGAGCTGAGATCTGAGGATCAAAGTTCAAAGCCAGCCCAGGCAAGAAAGTCCATGAGACTCTTATTTCCAATTAACCACCAGAAAACTGAAAGTGGAGCTGTGGCTCAAAGTGGTAGAGCACTCACTTTCAGTGAAAAGGCCAAGCAAGAACAACAAGGCTCTGGGTTCAAGCCCCAGTAGTACTAGCACACACACACACACACACACACACACACACTGTTCACAAATAGCAATGGACAACTGTGATATTGGCTCCCTTTGTAGTCAGAGAGAAATGATATCAGTTGAGAAGTTCTAAATGGAGGGGACACAGGGCAAAGAGGACTCATGCTTGTCACTCCAGAATTTGCTTCCATGGTGACAGCACAAAAGGAGAATACCCAGCCTCTTTCACTGACCCTATTTCCTCAACTCTTCTGTTCTAGAATTCCAGGAAATGGTGCATGCTTAAACAGCCCCGCATCTAAGGAGAAAAGAGAAGAAAGGAAAGTCAACCAGAAGGTCTCTAAGTACCCTGAGAATGGGGAAACTCCCACAACCTACCCCAAACTAATTTATGAACTCCCCCTGAGATATTTCTGCAATTTGGTCATCATTTGAATAAGGAAATGAGACAAATCTAAGGCTTGACTGGTGGTGGGTATGCCCTGATGGCTTCTCTACAGCTCCACTGCAGGCAATGCCTTGAAAAATCACCCAATAAAGACAGTTTCTCATCATTGGCTGGTGCAAGCGTGTGGTTTTTGTTTTTGTTTTTGTTTTTGGTCCGGTAGTGGGGCCTGAACTCTGGGCCTGGGCGCTGTCCCTCAGCTCTTCAGCTCAAGGCTAGCGCTCTACCACTTGAGCCACAGCGCCACTTCCGGCTTTTTTCTTTTTTTGCTTATGTGGTGCTGAGGAATTGAACCCAGGGCCTCAGGCATGCAAGGCAAGTGCCCCAAGCGTGTGGTTTTTGTTTTGTTTTGTTTTGTTTCCTCTAAGCAAGGGTTGAGGGAGAAAGTGGGGGAGCAGGCCTTTCCAAAGATCTGGGGGTCTTTTAAACACTGAGAAAATCACCCTGCCATTGTACATGAAGGAACAGGGGGATCGGGCTTAGAGATAACAAAAATATTGCCAATAAGTGGCACTGTCCAGCCAAGATTTTTCTCAGCAATGAACCTGACTCTGAAATATATGGAGAGATGTTTTCTTTTGGCCCATGTAAAAGGTTGCTCTAACAAATGGGTTTTGTGCTACTGGGTATTAGGTTGCTATAAGAGAGATTTAAAGCCAAGGCCCGTGGTTTCCACCTGTAATCCTAGTGACTCACGAGGCTGAGATCTGACAATTGTGGTTCAAAGCCAGACCAGGCAAGAAAGTACATGAGACTCTAATCTCCACTAAACTACCAAAAAAACCTGCAAGTATTGCTGCGGCTCAAATGGTAGAGTGTTAGCCTTGAGCAAAAGAATATCAGTGACAGTGCTCAGGCCCTAAGTTCAAGCCCCAGGAATGGCACAAGAGAAAGAGGTGGGGAGGGAGAGGGAGAGAGAGGAAGAGAGAGGAAGGAAGGAAGACAAGCTTCCAGGGAGACACGTCTGCCCTCATCCAAGCTTATGCCACAACCCCCTCCTTCTCAGTCACCGTTTTCCTGGCTCTAGGTGGCTCCACCTGAGCTGATCACACCCCAACTGCCTACCCATTTGAGTCTGGCCCTAGGGTTCCTATTACAGGACAAGGCAGTTTCAGCCAGGAAACTCTCATTAGGCCAGTGTCCAGGTGACACAGAACACTGGCCGCAAGCTGAGCCAGGCAGCTGAGAACTCCTGAGAATCTTTGGGCCTTCTCTGGGTGTTCTTTTAAAACTTCACACTGTCAACCCACCTTCTATCCTCTCCAACTTTTGGGGCTCTCCTACATTGCTTCTCATTCACAAAATAGCTTAGTGAGGTTTGAACCTTTGGGGTTTTTTTTTTGGGGGGGAGGGAAGTAGTTGTTCAAAGTATGGGGCACTATTAGAAGGGGTCTCAAAATGACCTTAGAAGACAAAGATCAATGTTTTTGTTCTTCAGGGTTTTTTTGTTTGTTTGTTTGTTTGTTTGCAGGGGGAGGGGGGAGACTTTTTTTGTGTGTGTGTGTCCGTCATGGGGTTGAACTCTGGGCTTGGGCACTGTCCCTCAGCTCTTCAGCTCAAGGCAAGCACTCTTCCACTTGAGCCACAGCGCCACTTCCGGTTTTCTAGTGGTTTATTGGAGATAAGAGTCTCACGGACTTTCCTGCCCGGGCTGGCTTTGAACCGTGATCCTCAGATCTCAGCCTCCTGAGTAGCTAGGATTACAGGCGTGAGCCACCGGCGCCCGGCGAGACTTTTTTTTTGCAAGAGTTTCACTCCGTGGCCCACAATGGCTTAGAACTTGAGCTGCCTTTGTGTGTGTGTGTGTGTGTGTGTGTGTGTGTATGCACACATACACTAGGACTTGTGCACATGCATGCATACATGCACACATGCTGATCCTGGGGCTTGAACCAAGGGCCTGGATGTTATCCCTGATCTACTTTTGTTCAAGGCTAGAGCTCTACAGCTTGAGCTACAGCTCCACTTCTGACTTTTTATGGATAGTTATTGGACATAAGAGTCTCATGGGGGCTGGGAAGGTAGCTCAGTGGTAGAGTGCTTGGCTTGCATGCATGAGGCCCTGGGTTCGATTCCTCAGCACCACATAAGCAAAAACAAAAAAAAGCTGGAAGTGGCCCTGTGGCTCAAGTGGTAGAGCGCTAGCCTTGAGCTGAAGAGCTGAGGGACAGTGCCCAGGCCCAGAGTTCAGGCCCTACAACTGGACCCAAAAAAAAAAGCTGTGGTTCAAGTGGTAGAATACCAGCCTTGAGTACAAAAAGCTTAGGGACAGCACCCAAGCTCAAGAGTTCAAGCCCTAGGAACAGAAAAAAAGGAAAAAAAAAAGAAAAAGAAAAAAAGAAGTTAGGGGAAAAAAAAAAAAAGAGTCTCATGGATTTTCCTGCTCAGGCTGGCTTAGAATTTTGATCCTCAGATCTCAGCCTCTTGCATAGCAATGATTACAGGCATGAACCACCAGTGCCTGCCTTGAAATGCTTTTTGTCTCAGCTGCCCAAGTGTTGGCTTTACAAGCTTGCAACACCACACCCAGCTAACATTTTACATTGAAATAACCTTGTATTAATTTTCATATACATTAGGAAAAAATACAAGTATCATAACATGTGAGCTCAATATTATTTAGAAAGAGGTTAAAGTGGGTATCAAATTTCTGAAAGTGTACCACTTTGAAGACTATCAAGTAGGGCTGGGAAGTACGGCTCAGTGGTAGAGCGCTTGCCTTGCATGCATGAGGCCCTGGGTTCGATTCCTCAGCACCATATAAGCAAAAAGAAAAAATCCGGAAGTGGCGCTGTGGCTCAAGTGGTAGAGCGCTAGCCTTGACCTGAAGAGCTGAGGGACAGCGGCCAGGCCCAGAGTTCAGGCCCCACAACCGGACCAAAAAAAAAAAAAACAAAAAACAAAGACTATCAAATAATATTAGAGATGGTACCTGGCTGTCCATAAAGGTAAATTTCAAATGCACATTTGGTTGGCACTGTGACACAAACCTGTAATCCTAGGACTCAGAAGGCTGAGGCAGGAAGCTCCAAAGTTCCTGGTCAGCCGAAACAAAACCAAACTAAAAACTAGACAAACAAGGAAAAGAAAAATGTCTCAAATACATTCCATTTCCATTCTTCTGGTTTAAGGCATTTCATTTCAATATCTCTGCCAGTAGACAATAAATAGCTATTTTATCCAAAGTATTTTTGCATTTAATTATCCTACTCCCAACTATCAGTTGTTTGTTTTTTTACTGTTGTCATTTTTAAATTACACGGGTTGGTTTTATTGTGTGTGGGGCGTGTGTGTGTGTGTGTGTGTGTGTGATTGCCAGTCCTAGGGCTTGAACTCAGGGACTGGGCACTGTCCCTGAGCTTTTTCACTCAAAGCCAGTTCTCTGCCTCTTGGTTCATTGGAGATGAGTCTCACAGGCTTTTCTATCCACGCTGGCTTTGACTTCAGTCCTCTGAATCTTAGCCTCCTGAGCAATTACAGGTGTGAGCCACTGTACCCAACTTTACTCTTTTTTTTTGGCCAGTCCTGAGTCTTGAACTCAGGGTCTGGACACTGTTCCTGAGCTTCTTTTGCTCAAGGCTAGCACTCTACCACATGAGCCACTTCCAGCTTTTTCTGTGTACATGCTACTGAGGAATCGAACCCAGGGCTCCATGCATGCTAGGCAAGCACTACCAGCCCAGCTCTACTCATTTTTGATTTATTCATATTTTCACATGTATTTTTACATACTGAGGAACAGTTTTAAGTATAACATATGTAAAGGCCAGTCAAAACTGCAAAACCTCTAAAGAAAATTCTAATGATCCAGAAAAGTATTTCACAAGCACATAATCATTTTATTTTTATGCTTATCTTTTCTATTTTACCCTAATTTGTAGATGACCTACCTCAAGAAAACATATAGCTAGCACTGTCTTGATTTATTTTGGCTTTAAAATGAAGGCCTAGGGGGGCTGGGAAAATGGCTCAGTGATATAGCACTTGCCTTGCATGCATGAGGCCCTGGGTTGGATTCCTCAGCACCACATAAGCAAAAAAAGAAAAAACCAGAAGTGGCCCAGTGGCTCAAGTGGTAGAGCGCTAGCCTTGAGCTGAAGAGCTGAGGGACAGCGCCCAGGCCCAGAGTTCAGGCCCTACGACTGGACCCAAAAAAAATAAAAAAATTAAAAAAAATAAAATGAAGGCCTAGGTAGCAGCATAGCTTAAAGAACTAAAAAATCTGATGTCTTGTTTTTTCCTAGTTATTTATAAAACAAGGCTTTTAATCTGGCCTATGTTTATTTAACTACAATGCTGGCTTGTAGTTTGGTACGGTAATTCATATAATGGCATGGAATCTCAAAAACAACTTTGTGAATGTAATTCCCTGAGCTTTCACTCAAGACTGGAGCTCCAGCTCCACTTTCAGCTTTTTACTGGTTATTTGAACATCAGAATGTCACAGATTTTCCTTCCCAGGCTAACTTTGAATCATGATCCTCAGATCTCAGTCTCTTGAGTAGCAGGCATAGCCAATGGCACCTGGCAGATTGAAAAACAAATAAACAAAAAACATAGGTTTTCAGAAGTGGGAGCTGGTACCTCATGCCTGTAACCCTAGCTATTTAGGAGGCTAAGATCCACAGGGTTCAGTCAGCGTGGGCAGAAAAGTCTTTGAGAAGCTGGTGGCGCTGGTGGCTCACGCCTGTAATCCTAGCCACTCTGGAGGCTGAGATCTGAGGATCACGGTTCAAAGCCAGCTAGGGCAGGAAAGGCCATGAGACTCTCATCTCCAATAAACACCAGAAAACCAGAATTGGTGCTGTGGCTCAGTAGTAGAGCTCTAGCCTTGAGCTGAAGAGCTTAGGAACAACGCCCAGGCCCAGAATTCAAGCACCACCACCACCACCACAACAACAACAACAAAAAGAAAGAAAAAAAAAGATAGAAAGAAAGAAAGAGAGAGAGAGAGAGAAAGAAAGAAAAAAGAAAAGTCCATCTCCAATAAAAAGCTCGGCTGATTCAGATGGTGACAGAGGCATGATTCAGAGTGACAGCCATACAAGCAAGTTGTGCAGGCATGAGGTCTTGAGTTCAAGCCCAGACAGAAGTAAAATCATCATCATC